TCAACAAAACTTCACAGGACTACGTAAAATTACCTTGCGGTGGTTCTGACAGCGCCAAAAATTGGAAAAACACAATTGTTTTTGCACAAAATCAATTTGAAAACACGATTAGAGACATCGCTGTCGCGAGAATGAAAGGGGACAACTCATATCGAGTTATACTTATTATAAAACCCAGGTTGTTTGTGTGTGTGTGTGTGTGAAAAATGTAGGAAATCCGATCCCATATATAAATATGGGATCGGATTTCCTACATTTTTCAACCGATTTCAACAAAACTTCACTTTTTTGTGGCAGGTAGTGTTTCTTATTGTCTTGCACACTTTTTTCTTTATTTTTACATTCAGAATGCTTTAAAAATTCCATTTACAAGACAATTGTTTATAATAAAATTCTATTCAATCGGTAGACTCATAAGGATTGAAAACAATGTTTTTGTTTTAGTTTGGGTTTGACCAATTCGTAAAAAAAAAAAAAACTAATTAAGACATGCGTGTCCGTCAACCTTAAACAATAATCTTTGTCAATTTTATTTTTCAGTCTTTATGATGGTCGATACTTGATCTGTCTCTTACTATTACATCCCCGGGCAACGCCGGGCTCTACTGTTAGTTGTAAATAAAATTTCCGAGTTTAGGCGGCGCCGTTAGTGTTTAAGTAAACTTAAAAAGGAACCGGAAACCTAATCTTAAGGAAACAATGGACAAACTGAAAATGCAACAGTGTTTTTTTTTTTATGTCGTGATGGAAGTCCCAATGACTATTAACTATTACGATACGTCAGTAAATTCAAACAGGAAAGCCGTGAAGTTTTCATAGCTACTGTCAGTAAATATGAATATCTCTTTAAAGTTCGACCATAATTGGTTAATATAAATTTTTATATGAATTCTAATGTGGAAATCTTTAATATCAATTTTATTAGGAAAAACTTGACTTGCTTAATCAAATCTTATATTGTGTAGTCCGCAAAATGTGACTCCCGGGCTACCATTCTCGACAGACCTGAAGTGGAAAGACTATAATGAATCCATTGCTAGGTCTGCTGCAAAGAATTCTTTGTTCCTTGTGTTCTGCTAGACAATTTTCCATCCAGAATCTCTTGCATATTTATAAGTCTACCATTCGTTCATGCTTTGAATGTTACTGCTACATATTGTCCGGTTCTTCTACTGTATATTTCGAGATGCTTGATAAGATCCAAAGAAGAATCAGCAATGTTATTGGTCCTGATCTGGCATCTCGGCTTCAGTCCCTTTCCCACTGCCGTAAGGTAGCGTCCATGTGACTTTTCTATCATTACTTTCATACTAATTCTTCGCTATGATGCCTGGTCTTTATGAATTTCAGCGCAGTACTTGATTGGCAGCTAGGTCTCATCATTTTGCATTTGAATTGGCTAAATGTAGCCGTAAGTTCTATGCTAACAGTTTCTTTTCTCGTACTTCTCGTTCGTGGAACTTTCTTCTTGCTCCGGGCTTTCCAGCCAACTTTAAGGTTCAAAAAATTAAATGTCAATTGTTATCTTCTGTCTTGATTAGTCTTCTATTCTTCTCACTCCCTAAAGCTTCCCTTTTTTCTTGTTCCTCCACACTCAGTAACCCCTTGTGTCTTAGGGGCTTTACTACCTTTCATGGGGTGATATCATTAAAAAGACAACCGGGGTCAAGTGATAGTAATTTGTATGCCGGGTGGTTATTTCCATAACATTGGTGACAACGTTACGAATTGCATTATTAAAAAAAGTGAATGGTCTAAAGATTTTAGTATTGTTTTTATTATTATTATTATTATTATTATTATTATTCGGTCGAGTCAGTTCAGACATTGATGAGTCTATCACGTCAACCCTCACGTTCCCGCATCAAGGTCGGAATGTCATTAGGGAGGCACTCTGTGCATAACATAGCTGATCAATGTAGGTGGTTGTTGAGCAAAGAAATTCTCTTGCTCTATAGTTAAATGTTCAGAAAAGTAGATCGTTCGTGAGTTCTTGATTTTCTCGCCAGCAGTGTCCTGTAAAGCGCATTCTTCGTTCGTGTAAGATTGTAGAAATATCAGAGCTGTGATTCAGTTGGATGTTGTCGCCAAGAGATGTTAAGTATAGTTCCCAGCATCCGAGTGTAGTTTCCATGTAGCTTAGGCTGTAGAATTTTAGCTAATGTCTAGGCAGTGGCATCATACATTAACACCACCTCTACAATGGCTCGAAAAAATCTCCGCTTGGGAGAATATGAATGGTAGGTAATGCCATAAATTACTTGTTGTTTTTCGACTTTAACCAATTAAACCTTCCCAAGACAATGGTGGAATTTGAAAAAAACACCTTCTCTCTATATCCTGTTTCTGACTTCCGGTTAGAGTGTGTTAATTAATGTACATTTATCGCAAGTGGCCAAGTGCAAAAGCGAAGTAGATTTTCGTTAAACAGCAAAGCTAAACTTTATACAGAAAACAGTAGGCGCCATGATTTGCTTAACTATGCTTGACTAAAAAGGGTAAATGCTAATCATGTGAAACATGAACTTGAAACCCTTACTATCCACAGATCTCTTAATAAGAAATAGAACAGGAAATTCTATTTTTGTTATTTAATTTAAAAAAAATAAAGATATCAACAATGTTAGAATATATTTTTTCGTACCAGTATTTAACCAATGAAAACTTTTCAATATATTTAGGGGGACGCATGAGAAATCATGAGAATTGGAACAAGAAAATCAGGCAGACATGACCCCCCCCAAAAAAAAAGAAAGAAAAATAAAAAAAATAATTATTGTAGAATTATTATAAAACTAGTGTACTTGTGCCATCAAAAAGAAAAAAAAAACGTTGAAACACAGGAGTCCGTACGATCACTGAAGTTAAGCAACGTCGAGTCTGCTCAGTGTCTTGATGGGTGACCGCTTAGAAATACTAGGTGATGTAAACTTAGATGTGCGGGTGGTGTAATGGATAATGGCTCGGAATTTTCAATCGTAGAGCCGAGTTCCGATTCCATTTGGGTTTGTTATATTCCCTATGCGCAAATACTCTTGGGAAATGTATGAATCCATCTCTTCTTCCCCCCCCAGATATGGGTTAATTAATAACAATTGCATCACTAAATCATTATTATCTCAAAAAAAAAAAATTCTTACAATCTAAAAATATTTTATGGCTTTAAATAACCTGCAAAGGGTTGATAAACCGTCGAAAACGAATCAATCAAATATGTACCAATTTTTCTATTCGATTGTCATATTTGCATTTCCTGGGGGTCTTCATTTTCTGCACACATTCTCTAAGTTTAATCTTACGTGCATAATAGAAGCGGGAGGCACGTTTATTTATTTTTTTTTTTTAATTTTTCCGACGCTCCTAAGCTTATTAAGACCCACCCCAATTTATTAATTTCTTATTTTCCTCATGTCTTCCAAAAGCTAAGCAAAGCATTAAGAAACAATCAAATTTCGTTAGAAACAAAGAAAAGAATACTTAACTGCTATGTAATACCGGACTTCCTATAAGGCAGTAAATGCAGGGCAATTTCTGCACAGTTGAAGAAAACACTTGAAGGAAACAGAAATGTGGTTCTACAGAAGGATGCTGAGAATGCCATGGACCGAACATGTGAACAACGACAAAGTTTTAGAGAAAAATGGAAACAAATGGACACTTATACTTAAAATCAGAAAAAGACAGCTGGCATTTCTTGCGCGCATAATGAGGAAAGGTGGGCTTGGGAAATCAAACACTCACAAGACATATTGAAGGCAAGAGTAACATTGGAAAGCAGCGCGTAATTCTGCCTAACGATCTTGTGTAAACGGATTAGGAGGGATAGCAAAAAAACAGACTTTACAAAGAGCTACAAAGGACAGGAAATTGTAGAGAGCTATGATCGCCAACGTCCTAAAAGGACACGGCACAAAGAAGAAGAAAAAGATGGTGCACGAATGTGCTTTCGAATTTTATGTGAGTAGGTATTTAATTTATGTGATCTTTGTTGCATACTAAGTTACCCTGTAGCTTCTTCGTTTAATACTATGTTAAAGAAGATGGCAAGAAATCTTGGGAATAGGGTTAACTGCTATAGTCATGGTTTTGAAAAAAAAACATTTATTTACTTTTTGTTTTACTCAGTTAACCCTAAGCAAGACGATAATGTCAATAAGACACAAAGGGGCTACCGGGAGTGAAAGAGAACGAGAAGAATCTAGAAGAAACCAGAAACTCAATTCTAAACAGGAAATAAGTGATAAATGTCTACTTCTATTCAAAAGACCTGGAAGGAAATTAAACCAAACGATAAGCAAAACTATATAATATTTTTAGCTTTTACATGAGTTGCAGACCGCTTTTTATTAAACCTTTCTGTCTATTAAAACCCCCACCCACTAATTATTACGAGCTTCCCTTATATTAGACATATAAGAGTAGACTGAGTATTCTAATCTTAGATAGTAGCCAGTTTAGGAGACAGATTACTCTGAAGTCAAAATTGTAGAGAAGACAACGGTCAACCCACTCCATTATATTTCCCAAGTAGCCATGACAAATCATAGACAATAAAGAAAAGGAATCAGTGGAGAGCCATGATCGCTCATATACTGAAAGAATATGGTATAAAACAGAAACTATACGGTATCTACAAATATCTGAGGGAACGGATATTCTCTGTTATATTACGCTGAACTAAATGTTTAAGTTAATATTGTTCTGAAGCAATATTTTGGATTTCAAAACGAGGCAAAAACTTCTTCCCGCCTCAAAGACACTTTATTAATACCCTATGGTGGGAAAAACAATAATGATAAGACAAATAAACAAGCAAAACACTTTAACATTATTAGACAGTTTACATTTCGGCCCTGGAGAGCCTCTCCTAAATTATCTGTCAAACGTAATTCGTTGAGGCCCATTTTTCTGTTCTAATCGTCAAACGCTGGCGATCATTGAGAGTTACAACGCCAATGAGATTTTAATGAGGTGTGCAAAGAGCAGAACGCATTCTAGGCTTACGGCCACATCACGTGGAAACACTGGTTCCCGTACGATCACCAAAGTTAAGCAACGTCGAGCCTGGTCAGTACCTAGATGGGAATATCAGGTTCTGTAAGATTGGTTGTGGGTAGTGTAATGGATAATGGCTTGGAATTATTAATCGTAAAACCGAGTTCCAATTTGAGTTGGTTACATTGACTTACGCGCAAATACTCATGGGAAAGGCATAAATCCACTTTTTTCTCCTCCAGCTATGGGTTAATTAATAATTAACTTGTATTTAGATACACTGTATTTATTTTCAATTTTTCTAGTTGAATTCTTCACCTATATTGCATATGATCCTTTATTGAACATAATTGGGTTAAAATAAAATTTACATTTTATATGAATATTACCTTATGAAATTGAGATGCAATAGAGCGGAGGCCGCCGTATCATAGATTCGGAGTGGCGTGTCATGGGACCGGCCATGTGTAGTTCCACCAATTCAGTTTCTGCCATATTTACTCTATATTCCAAAATCTAAGTAGAAAGTTTCACCCAGAGAGCTTTTTCGCAAGAACTAAAAATTTATTAAACAGACTCTCACATGTTTGGTTTTCTGAATACTAAAATCTTAACCTCTTGACTTAAAGGTCAATTTTTATCTATCCTCCCTATCCTCATATAATCTTCACTTCCTACCATCACCTCTTTCATTCATATCACACATCCCATTCATCATAGCCATTTTAACTTCTCGAGAGCAACTCTCTGCGGCTGCTCGGTCTCACGTTGACTGCTGACCTGAGATGGAACAAATACATTGAGACAATTGCTTCGTCCACCGCAAGGAAAGTTGGCTCCCTGTACCGCGCCAGGAAATTTTTCTCCTCGGAATCGATCCTCCAGATCTACAAATCAACAATTCGCCCTTGTATGGAGTATTGCTGCCATATGTGGTCTGGAGCCCCTTCTGTTTGCCTCGGGGTTCTTGATAGGCTCCAGAGGCGGATATGCAATATAATTGGCTCTGCTCTGGCATCTCGTCTACAGTCACTTTCTCACAGACGCGCCGTCGCCTCTCTCTGTCTGTTTTATAAATACTTTCATGGCAATTGCTCCGAGGAGCTGCATTCGCTGGTTCCCAGATTTCATGTGTTCAAGCGCCCTACGAGGCTGGCATCCCGCTCTCACTCCTTCACTGTCGAAACTATTAAATGTAACCGTCTCTTCTACTCCAATAGCTTCATATCTCGCACCTCTCGCCTGTGGAACTCCCTTCCTTATTCCAGTTTCCCTGAGAGCTATAATCTCCAGCTATTCAAATGTAATGTCAATCGACATCTCCAGTTGCCTTGATCTATCCACTACCCTTCTCCTCATCCTTTCTTCTATCACTCCTATCTGATCTTGCACCAAATTTTCTGTAATTCTTTGCGTCCTAGTTGCTTCCCGCCTTGCTTGGGGTGAAACGCTTAAAAAAAAACAAAAAAAACAATGCCCCTCTATCTTTAGTGGCTCTTTTGCCTTGTATTGAGTGGTCATTAATATTAAAGAAGGTACCTGAAGTAGGGTAACCAGTGCTAATTGTACATGACCAATTACCTTCATTAGAGGTAGGAAAGTTGACCTACCTGGACGATATAGCAAGGTATTGTTACAGAATGCAAAGGCCATGGCCAGGATGGTAGTTTTCAGCCATTTGTCATCAAGATGTAATTCACTATTAAAAAGTCTTTCAAAATTAAAATATAATTTTCTGAAAATTTATTTTAAAAATATCAGATGATTTAAAATTTATCTGATTTGAAATAAATATTACTTTTAAGTTTAAAATATCGCAGACATAGATTTTAACACAGTGTTAGAGATTTTATTTAAGGAATTGACAAGTTGACTGACAAACGGAAGTTTATCTAAATTTTTTATGACGGATATATCTGTAAAAATTCCTTGAGGAATATAATGTGAGCGCCGTTTTTATATACTTTTTAACTACTCAGTAATCTTTACAATTTAAGAAAATTTTTTTATTGAATTTTAGGTGCATTGTCTTTAAATTTACTGTAGTTATGGTTCTTATTTTTGGGTAATGTTTAAAACATTGGGTGTCGCTACAATGTAATAAAGTTTTCCATTTATAATTAGTAAGTATATCTTACCAATCTGGGACCAATTAAGGCAGAATTTTATAAGATATCAAACTTTATAAATTATTATAATGAAAATTTTAAAAATATGTAAACATTTCTTTTTTCATTTATTCAAATTCATCTAAAAAATTTTTTTCTTAATTTTTTTTCTTAACTTTTATTCTTAATTTTTTTCTTTATGTCCATAATATATATTATTCATAATGCAATTAAAAAAACTTTTCTAATTAAATAATGTTTTAGTTTTATTGCATTATTATTTTATGATTCAGAGGAAATTTTTCGGTAAGTGGGGGTCCTGTTTTATTAAAAGAAATTTATGATTTAAATTCTCCAAAGATTTTTGCTTTTCATATAAATATTAAACGGAATAAATTTTAATTTCTCGAAATTTCATAAAATTAAATTTTAATTTCTCGAAATTTCATAAAATTAAATAAGTGGGAGGAACATAACTTTTTTTACCAAGTTTTTCTTCAAAAAATATATTTCTGAAATAGTTTTATTCATTTCTGAATAACCCTGAAGGCTTCATTAAAATCTGGCAGTTATTTGAATTTTGCAAGAATTTCCAAATCAATGTGTTTTTTTTGTTTTTTTAAATTTTTTTTTACCGCAAAAGGGATGTTAAAATTTGCTATACTAATTTTTGTACCTGCTGATCAAAAAAAAAAACAAAACAAAAAAAACAAGATGTTTAACCAAAATTCTAAAAAGTATCAAAAAATGTAATTTAATAATCAAAAACTACTTTGGTCTTTACTCTTAGTAATAACGTAATGATTTTGACAATAAAACTTTGATTTTATTAAGTAGGGGGCATTTTTTCATCATGGTATGCTAATATTTTAGCGAATAAGTGGATGTAACTTTATATATATATATACATATACAGTGTAACCCGGATATAAGAGAGTTGTCGGGACCGGAGAAGTCTCTTATATCCGGGTTTCTCTTACATCCGGGTTTGGTCTAATTTATATACATTAACACAGGCTCTAATTTGGGACCAGAGAAAATCTCTATTATATCCGGGTTTCTCTTATATCCAGGTTACACTGTATATATATATATATTGTTCGAGGCATATATATATATATATATATATATATATATATATATATATATATATAGTTCGAGGCATATATAAGTAATTTGTACGTATTATTTATCATCTCTCAGTCTGAGGACAGAGGGGCAACTGAGGAAAATTATGCTGAAGAGGTGCCCAGCCCTTGGTAACAGCTGCCCGAGGCCGCGCCCTCCCATTGCACAAGAGGGAGGGATCGGTGCTCGCACGGAGGCCAGCGCAACCGACGGTTGCGGGAGCTGAGGGGAATTTTTTGTCCTTGCCCGCGTGTACGCGCTCGGGTCCACACATTAATCCGACCTTGTGTCACATCTCATTCTAGTGGGGGAAGGAGTAAACACCCTATATATTATTCGAGGCATAGGCGTCAACACGTGATAATCTAATAAACATTTACAAACTTTTTGAAATGCTAAAAGCGAAACCGGTTTAAGTAAAAAGAAATATTTCTGAAAAACGGCTTGTAAGTAAAACAATTTTAATATTTCTCTGTAAAATACATATTATATATATATATATATATATATATATATATATATATATATATATATATATATATATATAATTATTTATTTAAAATATGATTCCAACACGCTACATAAGAGTTCTCATGTTTCAAAACAAGAGCCGAAAACTTCACAATAATTATTTGAATTAAATTGAATTAAAGTAAGCTCTGTTCCATCTTCAAGCGAATTTTTTTTTTGGAATAACTTATTTCTGAAATTTACGTGTTTTAATAGTATATTCATTATTGAAATCAAAATTTCCATGATAACGGCTAGAGCGATTGTTTAAATAGAAAGGGGTGTATGGTGTTAATAATTTGCATCAGTATAGAGTTACATTCATAGATGTCAAGTCAGGGTAAGGTTGGGGTGTCTAAATTTAAAACGGAAGATGATTTCGCCTAGTCTGGTTTACGTGTCTATGGGGATTTATTTATGTTTTTATTTTATTTTTTTCTGAAAGGGTATATAAAAAAACTGCCGTAACATTTGTTTTTTGACGACTTCATAAAGGATTATTTTTTTGTAGGGTATTTAAACTATTTATTTATTAGGGCTATGGATTATAAAAATTATTTTATTGTTTGTTTGTTTTTATGCTAATTATTCAATGCAAAAATTTGATGATGTCGGCAAAAAACTCATGTCTATTGTTTAATAGATTTTTTATTATTTATAAACATAATAATGTGTAGTTTTTCATGTAGAAACCCTTTATAAAGAATTTCTTTATAAAGAAAATCGTTATATATATATATATATATATATATATATATATATATTACATATAAATATTAGGTGTTTTTACAAATCTTATTATTTTCTCTATACAGCAAGTTTTTGTATAGACTTTTCTAACAATTTCACTATTAACTTTCGTTCTTCTAAAATATTTTCCATACAAATATATAATTACCATTTTTTTAAAACTAGTCAATACTAAACACAAAATTAAAGACACAAAAAAAGTGTTTTGACTTTCACGAATTATGACTTAATTTGACTCTGTCTCATCGTTTCTGCGTTTAAGGATAGCTAGTTCGTAATTTATCTAGCTTATTACTAAAAATCATCATGTTTAGAGGATCATTAGAGAAACATGAGACCCGCCTCCACCTGCTGGAAAAGAAACTCTTTTTTGACCTGACCTGGTCACTGGCCTCGCTCTTGAATGATAAATGAACTTTAAGATCCCGAAATAGAAATTAATCAAGACTCAGTGCTTTGAAAAGATATTAAAAAAAAAAACTCCCTTTATTTAATGACAAGTTTTTTTGTTTTTTTAAACCTGATCATACCCAACAGGGAGATTCTGAGGTATAATTTCCATTGTCCCACCCAATTTCTTTTGCTCAACAGACT